TTGGAGCCTTTCTTTATGATCTCACAAAAGGTAGGCGAGTTAGATGATTTGGGGAGAGCAACCGATAGATAGGGTTTCTGTGGTGGTTGTTGAGGTGCAATAATGGGGTGAGAAGATTTAGCTGGGAAGTCTTTAATGAGATTATAAAAGGATAGCCATCCCTTTCTTTCTTCACCAACTGGAATAAATAGCTTGTTGATACTTCCATTGTTATCCAGCTTAGCTATTTCTGCCAAAGTGCCCTTTCTGTTGGTAGTTTTCTCGACCCAAAGGGTTTGTTCATCAACCCTGCTCTCTCTAAAGAATTTTTGGTTGATAGGAACATGTAAAAGTGAAGTGAAACAGTTGCAAAGCCAGGGGAGGGAGGACCGGTGTACAGAGATGGAGAAAGTTTTGTCTCTGGAGGATTCGGTGAGTTTTGCACGGGAGCCCCTGAAGCGTTGGTCAACAGATAAAGAAAATCTCTTCTTTTCAATGGTGGCAGATCTCATGGTTGAGGGAGGATGTCCGGTCATGTCGGAACCGGAGAAAGGTGTCTAAGGGTGACATTGGTTAAGGGTTTCGGAGGGGTGACGGGAGAGAGGGAAGGTGTTGGGAGAGAACATGACTTTTTTCTTAACATCCATTGTAACAGGAAATGGAGACCAGTTGAAGCAGATTGTTCAGTGAGGATAACTGGGAGATATCTGATAAACCTTAGCAGGATGCTTTAAATACTTGAATTAATCTTTGGTTTGAAATTGTACGTGGTATAATTGATTATAGCCGGTATCAAGTTTAGGAGGGAGGAGATGGAGGAGCAGTTTGCTAGATTGTCTTGTGTAATGAACCCTTAGTCTATTAACCATTTGGGAGTTTCATTGAGAAGTAATCCTTGTTCTTTATATTCTGGAACTCAATGTGGGGAAGAATTTTCTTTCGTCTAAATGGTTGCCCATTCCACGTTCTCTAGTATTCTCATATATATTTTTTGTCCCTTTTTGTATACCAGGGATGGTGGCACATTTATGGGAAAGGAACCTAGAGTGAGATGGCAGCCACTAGGGTTAGGTAGAACATGTAACCTTCTTCTTGATTATGCTGATCTCGTTTAGGAGATAGTAGAATACTCGTACTCCTTATTCATGGGTCATATTTTATATTAAATTATCATTGAACTCAAGAGCTTAAGCCGATTCTGATAGGTTATGAGAAACTTAATCTTTAATTCATATTTTTTTTAAACAAGATACAAACTTTTCATTATAGAAATGAAAAGGAACAAAATTGTTCAAAGATACAAACTCCCATAGGAGTGAAGAAGAGAATAATAAAGACAAAAACAAAAATATAAGAGTCCCAAAGACAACAAAAAACAAACTTAGAAGGGAGATATAAAGCTCTCCCAATTACAACATATCATACTAGGAGAATAATTAGAGAAAGAGGCATCTAGAGAAGAACACCAATGTGAAGCTTTCATCTTTGCAATGCGGAAGCATTCTTCCGGAGACTTCCTTTTCTCTTCAAATATTCGTTGATTCCGCTCAAGCCAAATTTAAAAAAAATAAGGCTTTGACACGTTTACCCATAGAAGCTGAGCTTTAAGGTTTAAACCCGACACACTTAGGAGCTGAATGACGTTATTTGGGATAGCTTGATCAAACACCTCCTGTAACGAGAATGGCTGGAAAAGAAACTCCCAACAAAGCTTGGAGAAAGTGAAATGGAAAAATAGATGAGGCTGCTGCTCATCACTATTCTTACAGAATATGCACATGGAAGGAGACAAGAACATGCTAGGATTCTTCCTTTGGAGAATGTTGGCTGTATTCACCTTTCCTGGAATCAAAATCCAAGTAAGAATGCTGACCTTTTTAGGGCTTTTAGATTTCCAGATGGTTTTGAATACATCCTGATCCTGTGAAAAGCTTGAAGCAGATTGAAATGCTGTGCATAAAGAATTAACCATGAATAAGCCGGAAGGACCAATCACCCACCTTCGTTGATCCTCATTAGAGTTCAGGGAGATGTGACTGAGAGAGGGCAACAACTCCGAAAAGGCTTCAATTTCCTCATCATTCAGCAAACGCCTTGTTTCAATTCTCCAAGAATTAGTGGTTGAATCCCAACAATTAAAGACTGAACCTGTTGTTCTTCACCCTTTCCTTCACTTGTAGGCTTAATATTAACTTAATACTCAACAAGTAACCATTAATATGGTTAATATCAATGAGAGAGAACATGACATTGATACGTGATTTGAACATAGGACCTCTTACGCTGATACAATGCTGATACAATGCATGTTAACTTATCATTAAACCCAAAAGTTTAAGTTAATAGGTTTTTTATTCATATACTTCCCACTTTCTCAACCTACATTTTTAGCCTTATTAATTACAGGTTCCTTCTACTTTCTCCATATACTTTCTCGCGCCTTGTATATTTTTCATGTTTCTCAATGAAACACTACAATAAATCTGGCAGTTAATGACCGTCAAAAATAAAAACACGGAGGAAACAATGAGGGACAGTGAAAAAAACCCTCCAAAATTTGAAGATAAAAAATTTGCTTTCAAGGATGGTCCAAAACCGACATTGGAAGTCTTTTATTATTTCACCATTTTAATTTTTAACCCAACTTTTTCACACTCGTCTCTCTTACTATTCAGCCTCCCTCACCAAAGACCAACCCACAATTTGCAGCCTCTCCTTCATCAAACGAATGACAGGGACTGCGGCACGAACGATGATTACTCTTGACCCTATGACGTGAAGCAGCAGCAGGGCGACCTCCGGCAGTGCGAACGACAGTGACCCACGATGCTGAGCAGTAGTGGATTTGAACTATAGAGTGACTCATATGGCGGTGGATCTGAACGGCAAGTCTGAATGTTGGTGACCCAACCTCCAGCGCCACCCGTAGGCAACAAATGGTTTTAGATCTGTAACACCCACCCTCTATTGTGTCAGATCTGCGAGCTTGAGCCCTTATGATCTGCATTTCGAACTATTTCGGCTCTTGAGTGTGGTGATGGGTTATTTTGGAGTGCTGCTCCTTCAGGTAGTTTTAGTATTTTCTTCAATTTCAATCCCCCGTTTTAGTTTTGTGACTAATTACTTTTCATATGCTTTACTATGAAATATGTTTTGTTACTCTTTTTTTCGCCATTTAGACTTGGGAAAAAGTATCAATTGCACACCTCCATTCTGTACTGCGAAAACCTGGCTTCGATTGTCAATGGATAAAATTTAGCAAACTAAAAAGTATTTGTGAGCCCATAAAAATAAATGCAGAGCATTAGACTATTTGCTTAGAATGGTTTAGTTTGCATGGTCTATTTTATGGTTTCGGAAGAGAAAATTTGGTTTTAAACTTTGGAAGGACTAGTGATCAATCTCTTTAATTTATTAGTTTATATTTATTATGAAGGACACTGATAACATCTCTTTAGGTTAAGTCTCTCTGCATTTATAGTATTGGGTAATGAGAATGTGTTTTCATGTACTGATCTGAACTTTGAGTAGTAAAGAGGCTTTCAATCTAGCAAATATCCATTCAAGATATTGAAAATAGATTTTTTTTTTTTTCAATTTTGAGAATCAATTTTATAATGTCTCATACTTTTTATAAGGATTTTGTTCTTCGAAACTATATTTGATCATTTAGTACTGATTTTCTGGTTTATATAATCTACTTCTTGTAATGAAGTTCAGCCAATTTCAGACTAATGTTGGGGAATTTGGATGCAATCAAATCACTTTTTTTGTTAATGACATTTCATTATCAAACTCAATAATTCATCCTCTATAGTGAAGTATCAACTGGAATCTATATTAGTAATAATGGAGGAATTGGAATAGAAACCATGAAATAGTATAAGCCAAATGCAATAGTTGGGTTCGAAGAGTGGTGACTCCTACAAAGATCAATCCCTAGAAAAATTTCATTTCTAGATGAACATTGGGTCATCGGGAGACCTTTCAGGCTTGAAATGGCTAAAATTTGCTTTTGTTATATATTTTGAACCAGAAACCTATATTGATTAAAAAAATGACTACTCGTCTACTCCTATGAAGATCTTTCATAACCAAATTTCGTTACCTCAGGGCGAGTTGTCATTGGTCTATTTGGAGAAACAGTCCCTAAAATCGCAGGTAAGGAGCTAAATTCTAGTGTTTTCTTGTTGATGGTCGTTTTACATTCCAATAGTAAGGCTGCCGACTATTTTACATCTTCATGTTTGTTTTGCAAAGAATTTTTGCTCTTTGCACGGGTAGCCCAGTAAATTTTGCTCTTCAATAGTTGGATTATTCATTAGATTGGTCGAGGCAGCAAAAATTTATTTAATTCTCTGTTAAAATATCTCTAAGATTTGAGATTTTAACTGATTTTCTTAAAATCTTGTTATAGGGGAGAAAGGAATTGGGAGGAGCAAGAAGCCTCTACATTAGAAAGGAAGCAAGCTTGTGCAAACTAAGCTTGTGACTTTATTCGAGGTCAGTACATAAGATTCTTGTTTTGAAAATTTAACTAGTGTTCCTTGTGAGATTATTGTTAGAAGAAATGTGTGTGAAAGTTTAATGTGTGAGGAAGTGTTTTCTTACCCTGCCACTATCCTATGTAATTGTCGATGGTAGAAAAAAAGAAAAAGAAAAAGAAAAAGAAAAAGAAAAAGAAAAGGAGGGTTGTATTTAAAAATTCCAATGGAGTTCCACATTGTGAACAAGATTTGGCTTGTTGGCATGTGGGTTTATAAATACTGCAGGACCCGTATTTTTCAATTTATTATATTATAGAAGTAAAAGTTCTATTGATCATGTTCGAATGTGGCATTTCCACATAGATTAGATGAGTAGGAGAGGATTGACATCATGATTAGATATTAAAATTATGTGTTTTACTTCCATTTGTTTAATTAATCTCTGTTAGTGCTGGTATATATTGAGATTTTTGCTCGTGACATGACTATTTGCATTGAAAGTTATTTATGTTGGGTGATTGAAAAGCTTGCTAAGTTGATTTCTCTGGTAGTTTGAATTCAATTTGATTCCATATTACTATTTACTTTCCAGAATTGAGATCTCATAGTAAATCAACTCTTCTTGTTAGGTGATAGTGGTGTTTTTTTGTAGTGAATCAGTGATAATGTCAATTGTTTTTGAAAACAATTTTAGTATTACGCCTGCTTATTCAAATGAAATATAAATATGATAATGCTTACTTATATCTGACAGCCTACCTGCAATATGAGTAAAACTAATTTCACTGACCATCTTATTATAGATTACAGGTACAAACTTCTCCAATAACCACCTTATTTGTAGTTATTTTTAGTTGGATTTTATTGTAGTTTGATAATTAAGTATGAAATAGTGTTCTGTTTCTCCTCAAATTTTTAGTGTTTTCATTCAGAGGGCATTGGATAATGCTCTCTTTATGTTTCTCCTTGTTTATCAAGTCACCAATTCCCCCTCTCCCCAAAGCACCCTCATCCTCCTTAAATTATAATTATTTTGTGTTTGGGCATGTTTTCCTATGAGTAACTGATATTGTTCCGTATCATTTTCTATTTCTTTGGCAAGTTGTGCTACAGGTTTAATGGTTTTTCCTCTTCTTATATTCTGCCTTTTCTTCTTTATCAAGCCCTTGTTGTTCAAATTCATGAAAATGTTTGTTGACTGGAGGCTTTGAACAAATTGGTCACTATGATTTGTTTCAATATTGGGTGTTTTACGAGATCTGCTAGATATAAGGTTCCCAATATGAGTAATTTTGAATTATTATTCCTTGAGTGGGATTTAGGCTAATCTATGAACCTCTATTTCCATTGGTTAGTCTTTTGTTCAAGTTGAAATGTTTTAGAGTCTTTGTATTTATTTCTTTTAACAATATTTCCTTATCTTTGTAAGTCGGACTCGGTTTCTTATTTAAAAAAAAAAACTCTCGGTATACCTTTGGCTATGTAATAAATCCCACCTTCCGAATTTGGTGTGTTCTCTCTTCTAATTTTACTTTACCATTGTAGTTGCCAACTTGTGAGCTATTTATCAGCAGCAATTACCTAGTAATCGGCACTGGAATTGTAGCAAACAAAAATTGTCATTTGTGTCAATAGGGAGAGAGATAACTCTTCATAAGAGAGTTATCTTAGGAGAAAAATGCCAAGGGTAGACAAGAAAATAAATATTTTAGCTCCAATCTCAAGAGTCTAGGCATTAATTGTGACCATTCAAATGAAAGTTGCAAATGTGTGTTTATTGTTGAATATTAAGAAAAGGTTATAAGTTTGAATGTTTTGTGGCAGCAACGATGATGTGGAGCCAACATGGGAGCTAAAATTGCAGAAAATGACAAAAACAGTTTACCCGAGATTTTAACTGCAGTAAAACGAAGAATCACCTGAAATTTGGGTTGGACCTCGTTTATCAATTTGGTTGCCCTAAAATTGAGGAGGGGTATAAAAGCTTCAAATGAGGGTTGCCTCTATAATTCTTCATCAATCCCTAAAGAGAACAAAACAAGAAAGAAGGGAAGATTCTTACATTTTGTTGAGGACTCGAAGAAGACAGAAATTGAGCTAATAAAATTGTCATTTTTGTATTATTTAATTAATGAGTTTTGTATTTTCTTCTTCCCTCTTCTTTGTCATAGAGTTAAAGTAATAGCTAAATACATTAAGAGGGTTGTGGACCTGTACTCGTGAATGCTGATTTTTTGGTTTATAAAGTTGTTTCTACTTGGTTAATGCTTGTTTTGCATTTTTAAGTTTAATGTACTTGATCACCATGTTGAATAAACTATTTATTAGCTTTCGGGAGATTGTAATAGAGATTGAATAGTTTTAACTTGTGTTAGATCTACATTCGAGTTTAGAGTGTAGGTACTTAGAAATAGGTCTAATCTAACATGGCTAAAAATTGAGTTGAAGAGTCGTTGGTCTTAACTGTGGTTAAAATAGCGTTGAAATTTGAAAAATTTGGGAAGATTTTGTGTTTGTTTGACCAGTAGCTATAGCAATTTTGTTGTCTTTGTTCTTGTATCTTATGTTGAAGGATTAATTGCCTTTAATTCTGTTTTATTCATATTTAAATGTATTTTTATCTTATTCGTAAAGTATTGATAATTCAAAATATCCTTGTTTGTTTTTCTTATTTCTTAAATAAAAGTAGAAGCGTTTTAGTTACTCAATCCTAGAGAATTCATTCTTTTTTATCACTTGCTATGTGATTTGTGTATACTTGCACAATTATATATTCCATGTAACAAGTTTTTGACACTGTTGTAGGGGACCTTAAGAGCATCTCTTGCTATTTTTTAAAAGGGGGAGTTCATATGATTCAAGGGAAAATGAAAATGGCACTAGTACCAATACTTCAACCTTCTTACTTACTTATTTGTGGGAGCAATGTGATCTCTACATAATGGGAATGTTAAGGTGATGCTATGCAATTATAAAAAATATTGGAGAAAAAGGGTATTCAAATTTCTTGTAGGCTCATGGATAGGGATTGTTTTGAGAGAAGCATTCATTTCACGTCTTCTAGTTAGATGGCAAGTAGGGATGACAATAAGATGGGGTTAGAGATGCATTCTCTCGTTTTTATCCCCGTCTCTGTCTCATTCACTATTTTTGGGAGTTAAGAAAGAGGATTGAGTTCCTTGAGAGAAAATTTCTCGATTAATATGTAATTATTAATTATATTTTGGATTGAATGGAAAAAGATTGGAGAACATCTCTCATTTAACTTGAGTAACGCTTGACTGCTCGCCCTTAGTTTTCGACCATCTCTTCAATCTAGAATAGAAGACTATTAGGGACAAATGTGATGTGAAATATATGAAAAATGAAGTAATTGGAAGAGCAGCCGAGGACTTGTACGAAACAGAAGAAAACCAATTTTAGGGGCAACCAAATCTTTCAAAGAACTGCCAAAAACCAAATTGCCATGCAACTCTTTCCTTTCTCATAGAAAGTCAAACATATCCAAACTTCCTCCAATTTATTTTTAATAACTTTGAGGACTATCACATTAGAAACCAAAAAGTCTTATTCTACATTGCTGTTTAGGGCACTCTAGTTTTATGAGTTCGAAGAAAAAATTATCCAAAGTGATTTTATTGTGCAAAACATCCTATCTCATTTCATAGTCTCATTTTTTGTTTACCAAAAACTTCTAGTACTCCGGTAATACTCACTCCACCCGTTAATTTTCCCTTGTTTTGACTTTTTTAATGAGACAATAGTCTGATCCTACTATTTGGTTTCTAAAGTAGTTTGTAGGATATTTAATTCTAGGTAGGCTGCCACTATGAATTGAAACTCGTTTCTATAAACTCTTTACTATTTATATTAGCCTTGATTGACCCCTAAATCAAACTAGGTTTTGAAACAACAAAATCAAGTTTCTCGTTCCCTATTCCTGTTTAGTGTTTTCAATATTTTTTTAAAACATAAATAAAAACATTATTTTATCATTTAGAAATGCATAATAAATGTTTTAAAAATAAATAAAATGTAAACGAGTTTGAATATTTAACTGAAAAATTAATTTTCATATAAAATTTTTACATTTTTTTAAAATCTAAAATGATAAAGAATAAGAACCAGAAATGATTACCAAATGTAATTATATATATTTTTTTTAAATGGAAAAATGGGAAATAAGAAATAGGAAATGAAAAAACAAGAAATAAGAAATAATAACCTTATTAAATGACCCTATATTAACCTAGGATTCTTTTTCTTTTTCTTAGAGCAAAGAGTGGTGTTTGAGGGCAGGAGCTTGATGACTTTTGTATCATCAATAACCATACAATAATCACTCGAATCTTCTTAATCGAATAGAAAATTGAGGTTAATGAAAATATTTAAAACCTTTTAACAATATTATTGAAACCCAAAACAAGAGTAAAGTCTAAATCTATAAATTTGACTATGTAAGAGACCATATATTTCAATGAACTTGGGATTTTTTTTTGGGGACCATTTATCAAAGTTCTTGCTCTAATATTTGTTGGGAATTAAAGTAATTTACACTTGGATTAAAAATTTATTTCCATAATACTTGGTTTATTTTTGTTTCAAAATACGAGAATGAATAATATATATATATATATATATATATATATATATATATTTATTAGGCCAACGTTTACTTATCCGCAATCGTTAACAGAAATCAATCGATAATGAAATCAATCGGAATCGTAACGTTATTCCATTGGTGTTGTTTACCAAAAATTTTTTGGAATCGTAATCAGAATTCGTTTGATGTTGTTTATTAAAACTGTCTGGAATCGAAATCGGAATTAGATATATAATAATTACTAATATACCTCTTTCTCCTTTTTAGCTAAATACAAATATATTATTTTTCTAATCTTTTCTAAATTACAATAATAATAAATTTTATAATTTATTACTATATTATTGATACGTAAATATTTTTTATTATAACAATTTATCTAATATTAATACATAATGAATAATTAAAATAAAATTACATCAAATAAAATATTTTTTTATTAGAACAACCAAATTTTAAACTAACATATTATTAAGTTTTATTATTCTAATATTTAAAAGTAATGATATCTATTTAAAAAATTTAGTGATATTAATTAATATTAATTTAACATATTATATAATAAAATCACATCATTTAATAAAAATTGAAGTATAAATGTAGAAGAAATTATAAAAGTATAGAAAAAACTAATTAAAAATTAAATGGATCTATAAGAGAGAAAAGGTAAAAGTGATACATTAATTATAATATATATGTGGGGTCCACGAAATAAAGAATAAGAATGAGATTGATGAAGTTGTGAGAGTGTAACGAGATTACACATTTTTTTTATGTAATGAGATTACAAAGTTTGAGGTGAGTCCCACCATTTGATTACATTCCTACAATTTGGTAAACACCCATCAAAGGGAATCAAAGTTTTCATTATGATTCATCGATTGCGGGTAAGTAAACGGGACCTTAGTTCAACGGATGAGGATCCAACCATGAACCTTAGACATGATAATAGATATCTTATCCACTCTAGCTAAACTCGAATCGAAAAAAATAAGCCATTTATGAGTCTTATTCAACAAAATAATTAAGGTTTAAGTCACATTTTGATCTATAAACTGTTTTGAGATTATTTTATTTTAGTCATTGAACTTACAAAATATCTATTTTTGTCCCTAATCTTTTAAGTTTGTTCCATTTAGTCCCCAATTTTTTTCTTAAAACTTATTTTTTAAATAAATATTTTGGTCTTTGTCATTAGTTTGTTGTTAATTTTTTTGACAGGTAGATGACGAGTGCGGCTAGAAATGACCACCAAATGTTGTAGAGTTAGAACGAAAAAACCTGTAACTTTTTAGTTACTATATTGATTTAAGCAAATAACAAAGGAAGCTATATTAAAGTCAACATTAGCTTAACTCAGCGATTAAGATATCCTACTCCTTCACTACCATTGAAAGTTTAGAGGTGCAATTATAACAATTATCATATTTGTGAGGTTGTGCAATATTTACTCTTAATATTATAGGGTTATGGAAAATCTTTTATTTTATAATCTAAAATACATTTATAATTAAAAATTAAGATAAATAGATAACAATATTATAGTATATATCTTATATATTATATGAAAAATATGAATAGAATTGGAGGTTTTGAGCGATCGCCTCATTTGCATGTATCTAAGTCGACCTAGATATAGTGTTGGCTTTGAATATGTGTATCGACATAGATTGATTGAGGTGGGTGTTGGATGGACATAATAATAACAAAGTCCAAACTGATTATCTTTTAGAAAAAAATTAGAAAATAAAGTAGACATTTTAAAATTGAAGTAGCAAATGAGATGAGCTTAAAAATTATGAGAAGCAAAATAGAATTTAAACCAATAATTAATCATAATAGATCAATCCGAACATAGCTCATTAGTTAAAACATCGATCTCTAACTTCATGTGTTGAAATTTTTAGTACTAAAAAAAATTAAATATAGGAGGTTAAAAATTACCCTTTTTTTTTTGGTTGAAATCACATAAACAAATGCAGTTTGACACGTTAACCATTGTGCATATCATTTCAATAATTAGCTTCGGTGATTTTTATACTATTTTTCAATAATTTATTAAGTAATTTTTCCTATTTGTATAAACTCTGAAAAATAACAATATCTGTGTATATATAATTTTTTTGAAGGACCCAAAAATCCTTTGAGTCACTGCATTTGATTCAAATGGTTTTCACAAAAGCAAAATAAACAAAGTGGAATTCAATTTTTTTAATAATTTAATTTAAAAAAAAAAGATTTTTTAATTGTGCACCAAACAAGGTTAAAAATAATTATTATAATTATTTCATTTATTTCCACAAAAACTAAGCTTAGACATTATAGGATACTTACAGTGAAAAATTAATATCTAGATAAATACCAATACCTATAACAGATCCAAGAATTGGATTTCAACTAAAAATTCTTGGCAGACCCTAAGCGACAAAGATAAGAATTTGGAGTGAAGATCCAAATTTTTTTTCCTCCATTATTTACGAGGTTTTTTTGTTAATTGTTTTTTATTTTTTGTCGTCTTTTTGTTATTTTCTGTTTTGGGGACTGTTTAAATTTCAACTCTCATATGAAAAACGTGATTAAATGTTATAAAAGAAAAAGTTCAAAAGGTCAACATTTATATGTCAGCAAATTGTGTGCTATGATCAATTTAACGTCTTAA